GGTCCAACCATCCCCCTACCACCAATGTCACCACCAAACCACATCCAACCTTTCCTTGAACACCCCCAGAGACGGTGACTCTACCACCACCCTGAGCAACCTGTTCCAATGCCTGACTAGTCTCACTAGTGGCAAGTGAGGAGAACAACTGCCCTAAATAATGTCTGTCCAAATTGATGAGGACCCCAATGTTACTGCTGGAAGTTCTTCCCAGATGTCTCCACTGACAAGAAGGTGAAAGCAAACCAGCAGATACTCCCAAGAGCACACCCCTGTGACCTAACACAGGGGAAGAGAGCAAATGAATCACTGAGATGCTACAACCTTTCCTCCTGTAGGCAAACTAGGGGCAATCCAAATTCCTTGACTCCCACCATCAATACATGGTTTTGGGGGGGAGCTTTAGCAGAAAAGATCCCAATGAAAAAAAATTGTCTCAAATAACAAAAAAAAAAAAAAAAAAAAAAAAGGCTTATATTCTCCCAGGGAAAAAAATAACCTGAATCTGTGTCATTAAATGTTCTTGCACTCTAGATTATCCCATTTCTATAAGAAAACTCCTAAATTAAAATCATCCCTGTAATGCAGAGCTCACTGTTTCGTGAACATTAGTATATCCTTTCTTTCTCCATTTGCCAACCTGATTTCCCAGAATGTTCCCGTACTCTTGTATCATGAACCAACAGAATAAAAGCTCCTGAATTACTTTTTTCAAGCCATTCATCATTCTGTGTATTTGTGTTACATTTCATCTTTTTTTTTTCGCCTTTGAAAGGTTAAACAATCTAACTTTTTTCAATTTCTCTTCATACAAGCAATTTTCCACCCGCATACACACCACTCCTTCAGTCTTTTCTCTCAATCTCCTCTCCTCCACACCTCCCTCATTCCAGGAGGTATCCAGCACCACGCAGTGTGATGACATGCCATACGATAGCACAATACTGATTTTACCACAGTTTTTCAATTTCTATACTATTCTCCATCACACATTTTCCCTAAGCTAACATTTGTTTAGTCTGACTGTAAGTACAAACACATATCAGAAGTTAACCAAGCTCTCAGGAACAAGATTCTTAACTCGCAGTCCCCTGCCTTGAGAATGTGCTATCATGAACATTTGAAGACATTATTTCAGGCCAGGTAGCTTTGCTCCCCTCTTCTTCAGCGTAATTCCTTGCTCCTTTCTCACCTATTACAGTCCCCAAATCTGTTATATGCTTATTAGGATACATTCCCAGAAAGAGAAAACTGCTGATTTATGAGAAGATAAGACAGAATAAGCAAAGGTAACGGCAGAATTGCGGACTCTTCACCATCAGGACTTCCATAAAGTAGTAACTGTGCTTCTGCATAAGAACTCCTCCATAATGCGATACAACAGACTTGCCCTTTGAAAAAGACTTCAATAGACAACATAACACGTGCATATGAAAGAAAACATTCCACATCCCACTAACCTTACAAGCACTTACAAGCAAACAACCCTGAATTAACTTAATAAAACATCATAGATACTATTTTGACCATTAAAGGGAAAATATCCAGTTAAAACTGTTCAAAACTTTCCAAGAAAAAGGCACATCTGAAGCTGTGAAGTCACAACTGCCTATGGCAAAAGAGAGAGAGAATCAAACATCTCAATTGTTTTTCCTCCCACAGGAACATTATTCTAAAGTTTGTTTAATATTGCCATTTAGGGAAAAACATAACAGCAATTGACCCAACTCCCTGTTCCTAGACACTTTTCTAGAAAGAACAAACCCTTTTTGTAAAATAACAAAGACAGCTGAAGACATTTGGGTGGTCCCAGCGTCAGTCCTGAAATACAAAACAGTGCTTCCTTTCCAAATCCCGTTAAAATTCGTTTTCCTTCTTCAGTAAAGCCTCCAAAATTGCTTATGACCACAGCAGTAAATCCCACTAAATATCCATATTATTAATTTGGGAGATTTTACTGACAGATTGGTAACTTTAAAGTGCTTGATTCATCCAACACTGAGCACATCTGCACAACGAGCTATGCAGCTTTTTAGACTGATCCTTTTGGATTCTCTAATAGTATTTTGGGGGGTTCACCAACATTTACCTTTAAGACAGTGCATGGCATTAACAGAGACTGATGTTGGATTGAACACTGATATTTAAATAACTGTCTCACTTCCTAAAAATATGGATCTACCTTATTTCTTCACCACCTGCTCTGTTTTGATTGAGCCAACAAAGACCAAAAGCTGTTAGAATCTCATGTCTTCCTGTATGTAGTGGCAATTCACTGAAACAGCAGCCTGATACAAACCTGAGATTACAGGCACTCACAGAAAACTGACAGACTGTAACCTCACTTAAGGAGGTAAAACCACTCAGGGAAGGCCAAAAAAAGCCTGAGATTAAGTTTTGTACTGTTGCTATTTAAAATCAATGACATGTAGAATACTGAAACAAGTTACAAATCAGTAACAGGAAAAACTCTGCTTTCTATTTTTCATCGGAAAGAATCACAAACGTACACATAAGAAAAGTGGCAAAGAAGCATGATTACAGCAGAACTCACATCAGTTTAAGCTGTAATCTGTCACCATACATAATTTATTAAAGTGTTCTTCCTAAACAACAGCCCTTAGAAGAGCAGAGTTCCTTTCACTTGTCACTTGTAATGGTCAAATTACAAACCGAGTAGTCAGAAGATGCACCCTTAAGGCTTTGTTTGGTTTGGTTTCTCCTGTTTTAAAGAGGGCAAGTGATATCATTAAATAATTCCTACAGATATTCCAACCTTCATTTACTAATAATAACTGACTTTGTATAGTAGACTGAGTAGGGAAATGTGTCTTTCTGGCCAATCTTCCAAATTCAACCAAACAGCAAAAATCCTCTATGAACTTAGAAGCTACCTAACATCCCAAACCAATTCCACTGAGAGGTCCAGGTAAGCCTTTCAGGTGTGGTGTCATTCTCCCGACAACCCTTGTACCTACTTGCATCAAACATTTTCTGAGTTGCTTTTCCACCTCAACGCACCTGCCTTTCTCAGCAAGAAGCCAAGCAGGCCACAAGAACATTCCTGTTCTTTCCACCTTCCTGCCTCCCCAGAGACTTACTGTGACAGGGGCATTTTAGCAAGACAGGGGTACTCAAAAGCTCATCTCAGCACGTGACCCCTCTCTAGCATTAAATATGATTATGTTTTCTAAATCAATCTTGTTCTCGGCCTTTCTGAAAAATATTAAAGGACTAAGCCACAGAATGAAACTACAGGACACATACAGAGACATTAACAACGCATCTGCTAAAAGTTACACTTAGGGGAAAAAAAACGTAAATAGAGATATAACCATTACTCACAGTACTCAATACTGCAGAATTTTACACTTTACATAATCCCATGAAAAAAGCTTAACCACAAATGAAGTGACCACAATGCATCGCAGCTCTGAAAGATGCACTGAGCTATATATTATTTCCTTTCCATTTGTGCACTGCCTGTAAGCATACTGACAGCTCAATGCTAAGCCTGTTTCAGCATCAGGACTCTGGCCAGCCTGCCCTCAGGCAGGACTTTCAGTACAGTAAACCCTTCAATAAAAAGGCAAAAAAGGACCAAGAATAGAAAGAATATTTCACAAGCTTTTGTGAGGAAATGGTTCTTTCCTAAAGTAGTAAAAAGTACCAAACCAAAGACAGTCTTTCCTTGTTGAATGCACAGCACAGTTGTACCACTGTTAGATGGATGGCGTTTTGATTACGCTTTTCATATTAATTAGTAAGAATTATCAAATTATGATGTATCGCTACACTAACTGTGATAACGTTTCCTAAAACATTTAATTATGTTATAAATGCCCAGGAAATCAGTCCTTTAATAAATAAAAAATGCTTGAATACCCCTCCCACTGAGTTTAATCAGCTTATTAAGGACAAACCAATACCTGCAAACATTGTGCTATAGGAAGTCAAAGACACAGTCAGCAAACATCGTGTGAGGAATAGGATGGTTTCTACCCAGCTGTTCTGTGTGTTTTCATGAAGTCATACAGAGAAAAGAGAAGATGACATGATTCTTGAAATACCATCTTAAGTTAACAGTAAGAACCTGTTTGCTACGCCAGCAAGAGAAAGCAAGGAAGCAAAAAGTGACTGTAAGTTTTTATTCTCAAAACTAAAAAAAAAAATCATTAAGGATGTACACAATAAGTAGTTTTAATATTTACATTGTACAGAAGTTTACACTTCATTCAACTCTGATAATAACAATATGCAAATATACTTCATAAGTGTTCAAGTATTATCCAAGCATAACTGTTCTGTTATTTGGCAATATTTGTCTTGTAAAAACATATGCTCATATTTTATCTTATTTTTTTTTTTTAAGTTAAAAACGTGTTCTGGTTCTCCATAAGTCAATGCTTCCTTTTTATCATTATAATTAAGTCTAAGCAAGTAAGGACAAAATCTTAAATTGACTGCAGATAAGGATAAGCATTACAAAATCTTTTACTGCTGCTGAACCAATATTTTCTATGGAAATTTTGAACACAGTTCCATTGGAGTATACCAATATACCTTGATGACAGAGAAATGATTCAAAGATGCCCAACATGACAAGCACGGAACCAAAAACTGTCTATGTAAGGAGGAAATTGCATAAATTGAGTGAATCTTTCTTTGACCCCATTTAAACAGAATGTACAACACAAGATTGTGAAATACTTTGTAGTATTTTCTCAGTCCAGTTTTACAATATTATAGAAGCATACAAACTATAGGAACAGGACACATTCTAAAATTCCCATTCAAAGAATGCAGAACTAATATGTTGCTAGAATTGAAAGGAGGTAAACTAGCTAGATCTACCATTAGAAAGAGGTGCTTCTTATGAAGTATCTGAACATGAACTGTACCTTACAATGTGCAATCTCTTTGTGCTCAGACAAATACAGATTTAAAAAAATATAGAATATTCTGCAAGGATGTTAACTGTATTCTTTCAAAGTACCCACCTTTCACATCCTGTTCCTGCTATGGCCAGTAAGATATTTCATCCATCTCAATCCCTGTTTTAAAGAAAACAAAAAACAGGAAGTCCCAGTATCTCAGGAAATGTATTTAGCAAAGGACAGAAAATCATATTAAATAAGAAAACAGAGGCATAAATTTTAGAGAGCAGTAAGTAAACAAGAATTCTACTAAAACATATTTGTTCTCAATTGATCAAATAGAGTGACATCTTCTTTGAGGCTTACCATATGTTTACAGTGATTTGAATTAGAAGTTACAGTAATAAATACTTCAATCAATGTTGTTAAAGTAACTGATGAAGTTAAAACATTCTTGATTTGACCACTTATTTTTTTTTAAACTCTGTAATTGTAACTGTAACAAAGTTTTCAGCAGGCTTCAGATCGAAGTTGCATTTCTGTCATTTGACCACATATTTCTTTTTGACCTGACAACATCCAACTCATTAGGTACAAAAAAAAACCTCATGCAACTATCACCATTTTCATATAAAGATTTAAAACATTAAAAACATTACGCCACTTCCATAAACAATATTACCTCTTCACATAACAATCCTCAAAACACCCCAAGTCACCGATGAAGAACATTCTGTTGGTCTAACGCAGCGTAATCATTGCACCTGTACATTAAAAACACATACATATATGTGTCAGTTACTAAGTATATCTGAGGTTTTGTATGAGAAAGTCAAAAATACCTCATCATACACTGTCTTTGCTATTTCCAACATCCTCAGAAATGAGAAACTGATGCATAGGAAACTATTGTTTCCTTCTCGAACACTTTGAAAAACAGCTTAGTTACAGACTATCTGGTTACCTCAAAGTTTATTACTTTAGCAGCTGGGGCAAAGGTTAAAAACATTTGCATACAGCGCTAGTTTCATTCTGATGCCCCAGCTATGTTTCAAGAAAACATTATGCTGGATCCATTGCAAAAGAAAAAATTTAAATTTGGAGCATAACTACTGTAAGATTTTTCCTTCCTTTTCCTTTCTGATTTTTAAGGAACTTTAACTTTGAAAAAAGCCTGATTCTTTTAGCAAGTGAGGCAGAAAAAAAAATATATATATATATGTATATATATATATATATATATATATGCCCTCATTCCTTAAATGTACACTTTGTTTTGCAGAAAAATAGCTTAAAAAAATTGATTATACATAAAATTAGTACTAGAAATATGTTGGTATGGTAAGATTAGACTGAAAAAGAGGCAGCTCGGCTCCTTGGCTGCTGAACGGCCTTGTGAAGAAAAAGGTGTGCACAGGAGCTGCTGAGGCTTGAGGGAGCAGCGCCTTTACCTCACCTCACCCTCCTGTTTGGCCGTTTATCACGGAATAACGACAGGAGCGGCCGTTATTAACGGCTCGGGACGGGTTCAAACGACTGCGCCGGGCTGGCGGCACAGCGGCGAAGGACCCGGCCCCCAGACCGCGACCCAGGCACGGAACCGGGCCAAGCTCCGGCTTTTGGGGCCGAGCTCCCTCAGCCCGGCCCGGCCCCGCCGCCCCTCCCGGCCCCGCTCCCCCCCTGAGGCGCTGCCCCCCCCCCCCGTCCCGCCGCGGGGGGCAGGGAACTCACGCTCGCGCCCCCTCCGCCTGCTGCGTCACGGCCCCGCCACGTCACGGCGGCGGCGCGCGGTGGCGTCACCCGCTGAGGGAGTCCCGGCGCGGCGCAGGCGCGGTGCTGGCGCCTCGCGGATGGGGGGGGTTGGCGGGAAAGGCGCTGAGGGGACGGCGGGGAGGGGAGGGGGCGGTCATGGGGGGGGGGGGTTTGCTGGGGTGCCGCCTGCCCCAGGGAGACTTGTTGGATGTTCGTGGTTCCCCTTTCACATCAGACGTCGCTTGTGGGGAGGCTGAGGGCTGCATGCATCTGTCTGACACAGTGCCTCAACAAAACACATACCTGACGTGGCGACATGGTGCCTCGCCTTCCTCATACCTGACATGGCGCCTCGCCTTCCCCACATACGTGACATGGTGCCTCGCCTTCCCCACACACCTGACATGGTGTCCTGCCTTCTCACTTAACGTGACATGGCACCTCGTCTTCCCGCATACCTGACGTGGCACCTTGTCCTCCTGCATACCTGATGTGGCACCTCACCTTCCTCATGCCTGACATGGCACCTTGTCGTCCCACATACCTGCCATAGCGCCTCGCTTCCCCCACACACCTGACATGGTGCCTCTCCCCACACACACACACCTGACATGGCGATCCTCATCCCCACACCTGACATGGCGCCTCGCTTTCCCCATGCCAGGTGGTGCCTTGCCATCCCACATACCTGACACGGTGCCTCACCTTCCCACACACCTGACATGGCACCTTGTCTTCCCACATACCTGACATGGCATCTTGCCCCCCACACACACCTGACATGGTGATCCTCGTCCCCACACCTGACATGGCTCCTCACCTTTCCACATGCCTGCCATGGCACCTCACCTCCTTCACTCCTGACACGGCCACACACCTGAAACAGTGCCTCGCCTTCCCACACACCTGACATGGCACCTCATCTTCCCACATACCTGACATGGTGCCTCACCTTCCCACATACCTGACATGGCACCTCGCCTTCCTCACACCTCACGTGGCCCCTCGCCTTCCCACACACTGAAGGGAGGAACGAGTTAGGCAGGAGGGAGATCACAAAGTGCAAATGGAGGAAGTGTATGATACGTAGATGAGCAAAAAACCCTCAGGAAAAATAAAAGGGAATTTCTTCTTATTGTTGTTATTCCTCTAACCTGTTCTTCAACAAAGCTGCTGCTCGTGAGGGGAAATAAATGACTTCTACCTGCAGGATTTCGAAGATTAATGGAGCCACCTGCTTTCCCAGAACCATACAGGGCTGTCCCCATCACCACAGCCTGCTCTCTTGGATGTGCTGTGCCAGGACGTCCTGACCTCCTGTGAGCCCACACCTAGCACAGCTGCTCTGTCGTGCCATAGTGGTTGCTGAAAAGGGAGGTGACATGGGCCCCCCAGCCACTGCTGGGACAACGAGGATGGGAATTTGCACTGGCACAGCTCCTGGGAAGTGGGAGCGGGGCAAATGGGGTTGGGTTAAACATTTAATTCTGTTGTCTTTTGCTATCATGTGCTTAGAATTACACCGCTGCTGTGGTGTTTAAGTCCAAGAGCATCAGAAATGGCAAAAATAGGGGCCAGGGTAGGAGAGGATACAAGGAATGATGGAATTCTTCCCAAATCTCCACATCTCTACACATGTACCTGAGGCTGAAATTTGAACTTTGCCTTTCCAAGCCACAAATGAGGCATAATTAGCATATGATGGTTGCTGATATATTGCATGCCACCTGGAGAGACACAAAATATTCATTCTGGTGTGCAAATGTGTTTGTGCCTTTACCAGCTATTAATTTTCATTAAAAAATATAATAAAATGCTATGATGCCTTTATCTGTTGCTGATGAAAGAAAAAAAAGATAGCTGATGATGATGGTGAGACAGTATAAAATTCCAGTGTGGACCGTTTTATTCACAGAAAAGATCAGTTACTTCTAGCAGAGCACATTCATTTTCCTAAAACCACATTTCACAATAAACTATAAGAACTTTGTAGCAGTGGTAATTTATCTTAATTTGGAATATCACTTTTTAAAACAATACTGGGGAAAAAATCATTCTAACTCCTGTTGAAGGTAACATTTTGTGTGGAGTAGCACGTCAGCATCATAGTTTATGATACTCTGAACTTCTGCTTTTTGAATATTTTATGGAAAAGTGTGCTAGGGATCTCAATTCCACTTGATAAGTTTGTTTTGAGAATGACATTTTCTTAGAAGCAATATAAGTTCATACTTACCATTGAAGTAAAATAGTACGTAATAACCTAAATAAGTAAATAAGTGTAATAACAATCACTACAACAGAAAGAATTTAAAGCAGTAGTAGCTGATGAAGTTATTACTTTCTCTTTTTACAAACTATGATGGACAGACATAGTAATTGTTTTAGAGATTGCATTGGTAATCATTTAGAATAAATAAAATAAATGTAGATAAATTTCTCCTCCATCCTTTGTATAAATTATAAGAATGGTAATGGACTATCACATACAATAAACTGAAAAATGAGCCTACATAATTAAGAATTTTATGATCATATGAGAAACTTACGTATAGTATAAACTTGCACTGCCTAGAAGAGTATTAGTAACTTAGGGTTATAAACAGGCTAAAAAATTAATGGTCCTAAATCTCACATTCTTTTTTCATACTTAGCAATGCAGTATATTTTCAGAATTAAATCAATAGATATGTTTGCACAGAAATGCTTTTGCCATATATCAACACAAATAGGAATGCCAATACATTGTAATAAAAAGTGAACCACCGTGTTCTGTAGTGCTGTGAACTGAAGCCTTTATGGGGAGGGTAACTTGCACAGACAACTGTAATACCTCCCCCCCTCCTTAAAGCTTTAGAACATTAGCTTGCTAAATTTAGTGTACATGGAGGAATTTTGGACCATATTTAGGGAAAATCCCAAACATGCAAGGTAAGGGTTTACTGCATAGAACTAGTTTGGTTTAGACCAGGTAGAGAATAGTTTGGATTAGTTTGGGGCTAGTTAATTAAGTGTGGAGTACTGCAGGAGCCTTTGACAACACCATTTTTGTGAAGATTAAGGTATTTCAATTCACTGCAGCAGAGCGCAGGCTCGAAGAGTTTGGGAAACTTGGGCAACACCAAACACAAGCACTGAAAAACCTCCATGTACCAGGTTTATCTTGCCTTCCTCAGATTAGGCTTTCTGGTGACTATTTGTACCTCTTAAATACCTAAGCCTGCTAGGCTTTAGTGTCTCCACTGCAGTTCCCCTTATTTTGAAAAAGCTGTGATAATTCTGACTTAAATATGGTGAAGATGCATTAATAAATATGAGGAAAAGTCTTTGAAGTTGAAAAATATAATGAGGTTTAAGTCTATTCCTTTTTGTCATCATTAGCCTGTCAAACTTTTAAATGCTGAAACACTGCTCTTGGGAGCAAGGGGAGAAGTGATACTTAAGATAACAAAGAAGCCAGGATCCAGATCAACTAAGGAGAACAAACAAGTAAGATAAATGGGGGGGAGGATTCCCAGAAAGAGTGTATCTAAAAAGATGCAACTTTTGAAAATGAGAAGAAAGAAATGCCTGGAATTGGAATTCCCAGTAACTGGAAGGGCAGTTACCAAGAAAGACCTTCTCATAAAGTTCAAAGTCAATGGGTGTTAAGAGAAGACGTCAGAGATGTCTGGTCTGCAGTTTATCTCCTGATGTCTCAAATAGATCAGTCATGCACTGAAAGCTTCTGTTTCTTCTCCTCGACTGTAAGAGAGACCTCTGGCAACTCGCTCAGATAGGTGAATCCCACCTCTGCAGCCTTCCAATACCACCGGTGTAAGGGGATGGCTGAATGAGGGTTTTCAGATCTTGATCTAATCTTAAAACCGACTGCACAAGAAGACTGGGACTGGGCAAAGATCCAGATGGGAATTAGATGATAGACTTCAGGCTGCTGAAGTAGAAGAAGAGGAACTTGCAGGAGTAGGAAGGGTCAAATTTAGGGACAGTAAGCACAATAGTCTTGCACACAAAAGCACATCCTATTCCAAGCCCTGGAATTGATCCAAAATATTTAATTTTCATATTTCCCTTTTTGTAACTATATATTTGCAGACTAAAGGTCAACATTTTTAAATTATTATCTTCATTTGCACAGAAGATGCGAATCCATCGCTGCTAGCGGGTAGCCTGGTAGCCAAAATGACAATGGTTGTAAGTGGTGGATCACCCACCCAGCAATAAAAAGAAAGCAAACACATGGCAACTGCTCATGTAGTGAAACTTTTGTTCTGTTAAGAAAAAAAAAAAAAAAATGGGGACACATAAATGAGAACTGCATCATAATGCATAAGTGCATAAAAGCCAAAATAATATTGGTTGACATTTCCTAACTTCTCAGGATGTGATTTCTCAACCTCTGATATTCCTTCAACAAAGCTTTTATGTTGTGATATGTGGAAGACCAGAATTTATATCCATTATTATTGCTTCATACAAGAGAGTAGGAACATATTTTAAGTATTTATTATTCTTCGTTTGAGGTGACACTTTCAAAAGCTTCTAAGAAATCATAAAGTAAGAAAAATCTCTCTTTGAACTGATTTTTTACCAGCTTAGAATGACTGATTTTTCAAAGACAGCAATAGATTTCAGCAACATGAAAGGTTTGACTGGTGATGCCAAATAAAAATTATTTTTTTAAAAAAACAACCAGCTGCTTGTTCTAAAGTTTTCATTTTATGCCCAACAAGTTGATCTCTGTCCTTCAAGGTAATAAAATACCGTGACAAGCCAAGAACACATAGTTCTTGTCTCCTTTTTTTTTTTGTTGTTTTTCTAAATGAGAAGCCAAGGGAACCCGCATGACTGAGAGGAAACCTGTAGACTTGCAAGCAGGAGGAAGTAAGCTCAATTCTGTCAGCATCACAGTTTTCTCTCTTCTCTTCTCTTCTCTTCTCTTCTCTTCTCTTCTCTTCTCTTCTCTTCTCTTCTCTTCTCTTCTCTTCTCTTCTCTTCTCTTCTCTTCTCTTCTCTTCTCTTCTCTTCTCTTCTCTTCTCTTCTCTTCTCTTCTCTTCTCTTCTCTTCTCTTCTCTTCTCTTCTCTTCTCAGAAAAGCAGAACATTTTGGAAATGGAAAA